AAATGGCAATATCTTGAATATTAAATAGTGAAAGTAGTAAAGTATCAGCCTATACATTATTATCCCACTGCTGGGCAAAGACCTCCTCTGTACAGAGGGTATCAGGGCATAGTCCACCATGCGGCCCCGCTGCGGATTGGCGGACTTCACATATCATCGAAATATTTTGTTTGGTTATTATTTCGTAAATATGCAGGTTTCCTCACGATGTTTTCCTTCACCGCTGAGCACGTGATAATTCAGCACTTAAAATTGACAATTTTCATTGGTGCTGGCACCGGGGATCGAACTCAGGTCGCGCGAGTATATTAAATTAATGGCGAGCGCCCGAACACTGAGCTATCACAGCTCTAAATAGTGGTATTAGTAATAGTTTTTTTTCTTACATTTACTTAACACCGCTTATTTGTGTACTTATCTTCTTATCCTTTAAACGAGCAATTCTTATGTATATATATATATATATAGTTATCCGGAGTTGTTTGATCCAGCGTTACGTATGATCAGTTTTTTGTTGATCCGCTCAAATTTTTTGATCCATACCCGATTTGTTGATCCAATACCATATGTATGTGATTTAGTGGCTCCATTCGGATCAACAACTTCTCGTCAATATCTTTTTGAAAGTAGCTACAATTTATACAAATCCACTCCGTACTTATTTGATCCAATTCAAACGGACGAATCACAGATCACTGCAGCATTCATTGGTTGAAATCATCACTTTACGTCAGTACCTACTTATTAAGAAGAATTACTGTATCTCGTGAATGTTATACTTTGTTGAAATACATGCTTTAAAGGGCCAGCAATCTATCGCTCGCGCGCTTTTCAGATTCACGTGCAACACAACCATTATATTTTAATGTAAATTCGTTGCGCGCGTGATACATTATTTAAGAATTTACATATAATAATTAATTTAAAAAATACGGGTATCAATACTCAACAGTTAATTATTTAATTCATGTATAAAATGAATGTACTTCTAATTCAATATATAAAAAATAATGTTGAAGAATAAATAAGACTTGGAGTATTCTAGTCGTATCTTCAATAGTTTATAAGTAATTTTAATAGCAATGGAGAATACCTGATATGTAACAACAAGTCAAAGTGTACAATAATTTTAAAAATTATATAAAAAAACAGAAAAATAATAAACAAAAATTTTCGTAATTTGTTTGTTTATAAACAAGCGTCTGTTCACAAAACCAAATAAAAAATTAATTAAATTATATTTATTTTATGATGTAACAACGTGATAAATTACGATTTTAATAAAATGGTTCCATAATGTTAACACTAAGCAACAAAAAATTGTAATTTTTTTTCTTTAATGTCATATTTTCATTAAGCATCATATTCTTAAAAGAAAAAAAAATTAAAATCTTATAAACAATGTATTTATTTATAATAATTATTGTAACAATTTAAGTAACTTTTTTTACAGGAACAGAATAATCAAAAAATTAAAAAAATCTTGATTGATTTATTAACGTTTTTCATATTTCAATGCCTTAGATTGGTAATAAAACAATGAAAAATTAGAATTTTTTTTGGCAATCTTTTCTAAACTCTTTCAAGAAGTGACAAAAATATTCTGGGTTAGGCTGCATAGAAATAATCTTAATTTTTTTTCGTCTTATTATTATTTATTCATGTGTCAAGAAAGAACTATATTTTTTATTCCTTAACATTCTATTTTATTTGGTTAAAAAAATCTTTTAGAGTTCCGTACCCAAAGGGTAAAACGGAACCCTTATTACCAAGACTCCGCTGTCATTCTGTTACCAGGCTCCACGTTGTATCTCATGTCGTAATGGCGATAGTTAGATAGTTGAAATTTTCACAGATTATGTATTTCTCTTGTGCCATATAAAACCATAATTTTCGTGAAGTTAAACAGGTTTTCGTTAAAAAAGCACTTGTTGACTATAAGCAAGATAAAATTTAATAAAAATCACTTACATTTCACTGAATTTTGTGAGTTTTCTTTTTGATGTAAAGATTTGTCCGATAAATCGCACATTATCTCTTTACTAATCTAACTTTAACCCACTGAATAGCACTAGCTTAAATAACACTATTGATTACATAATAAATAATAATAATTTATTCTCTTGTAACCAAATTCATATTTGATAATGACTTGAGCAATGACTTGTAAACAAATTTAACAGGTAAAATAAAACTAAAATATTGTCATCCTCGTCTCTTTAAAGAAATTTTCACACTACATTTGTCGCATTACATTGCGACCGTTGTTGATCCGTTTCCTAGTGCAATAGTAGCAATATATTGTACAACTAGCTTGCGCCCGCGGCTTCGCCCGCATATTATATCGTGTTTAAAAATACCTACGGAACCTTTCGTGCGCAACTCTGGCGACAGCTTGGCTCAACTTGGGCGATTTTTTTTAACTTTATATAAACCATCATTTTACAGACCATAGTTAACTATAGTTTCATTACACAAATCTACAATGTGGTTCTTTAAGTTGATATAACTATTTTATTTATCATCCGACTTAAATAAAACTAACATTATGTAAAATGTTAAGAAAAGCTTACTACAATACATTTGTAAAAGTTGCACTGAAATCGGAAAGGCCGTTTTAGCCAAGTTAGCGCACACAGACAAACAGAAAAACATACAATAATTTTAACTATCATTGTTTTGGGTTCTACTGCGTTGATAAAGGCCCCTAATAATAGTTTTTCTCAAATATCTTCCATGTACAAACAACAATCAGTTAAATTTTTATTATATGTATGATATTCTTTGAGCTCATAGTTCGCTGCCGCGCCAGTTGTTTAAATCAACTCGGGATAATATTTGGATGCCTTAGTACTTAGGAGTACAGCATGGGCTTCACCTCAATCGAATTAATACAGGTTGCATGTGCTAACAAGCATAACAACGAAACTATACACTTTATAGTAAGTAGGTATTTTGATAATGTCCCAAGGATTCATTAGTATCAAGCGATAATATCTACAATATTAAATTATTTATTCACTAACATACTATGGTAAACTAATTAATAAGAAATAGGGTATAACCATCTCTTTGTCAATTATATTTATCTAGGTTATTATATTCGACATATAGTAACAGTTTGTTAGTAACGGTTGTACATGGAAATTCAGTTCTTATTACAAACACTGTGGAATTAATTTTACGAACACGGACGTCGAGCTGCGTATGCGCGCTCACAGGGATCAAGAAATGTTTAAAAAGTGCCTGAGAAAAAACCGTTACGCGGAGCCACAAATACTTTGGAAAAGTATAAAACAACGGCTAGAGTATATTGCTGAATTTAGAAATATGTCTATGCGACATAATGCGCTGTTCAAATATATGCTTTCCGGCCTTTAAAATAAAGGTTAAGAGCAAGTAAATTTGGACAGAAAGGTGGATCAACAAAGTACTCTTTTAATTTTGCTGGATCAAACAAGTTATGGAAAAGGACTATATATATATATATATATATATATATATATATATCAATATTTATAGAGTTATTAAATATCCTAAAACAAAGAATTTTAGAACACCCTTACCTATAAAAGCGTAACGTAAAGTTCATTTGTAAAGGTCACAAAGCATATGAATGAGTTGAATAAATTTAAAAGAGACAAAACATACTGTTAGAAGGAGAGGCTTGTAATGCGACGCAGTGGCGCGAGTTGTATAGGATGTTACAAATTTTGTTTCTTTTTTAGTTAATTAGTTTCTTTGAAAAATATTTTTTTTTAATTATGGATTTTGTTTAACGTTAATATTTTTTTATGATTATTGGCAAGTAGCGTTAGACGTGTGTACATATATTGTCGCCATGGTAACGACACGTTGTATAGTCGGAATCTCGGAAACGGCTCCAGCGATTTTCATGAAATTTAGTACGTGCGTAGATTCGGGGGCGAAAAATCGATCTAGCTAGGTTTCATTTTTAGAAAATGACCTTTTATCCCTGTTTTCAGGGAATGGGAAATATCATTCGAATATGACGGTAAATTTCGCCGCAAAAAAAAAAAATGTTATAATAGCTCGGTCGGTAATCGAGCGGCCCCAAAACAGACGGCCGCGGTTCGTATCACGATCATTTACACACTTATTTTTTACTTTTTTTTTCTATACCAGATCATTTTTTTATTTTTTTTATTTCCAAAATACTTGATTTACCAAAAAAAAACCGAGCAGTTGCAATGTCTCCAATAGAACAAAATTTTTGCTAAAAGTACTGGTTTTATTTTACGTAAGCGGTTATTTATTATTATTACGATATAATCAAAAGATACTTCACGTTTTTATACAATGCAACTACGCTGTTGTCCGAATGGGCAGGAACGGGGAAGTATCACAATCTCACAGAAGACCGGTTTAAAATGGACTTATTATACTTCTGTCTGTTAATGACTATTTTCTCTGGAGAGTATGGTAACCAGAGCCCCATTTATTAAAGGTGGCAATGCATTTGCTAGCCTACATGTGTTGCAAATGTCCATGGGTGACGGATATCACTTAACATCAAGTGAACCGCCAGCTTGCTTACCACCTTCTCAGAGCAGCATTTAATTATATATTATTACAAGTTTACGCATTCACTTTTATACGATTTATATATTTGAGTTGTGAGCTTCTAAATAGAATCGTAGATACCTACTGTAGTCGGTAAGTTTGGGTCGGTTTGTGGTGGTTACCATCCAAGGTAAATGTACCTATAACTTTTTATTTATGATTTTATATTTTATTCACTGGTTTTTGTCTAAATGTTACTTACTAACTAACTTAAATTGGTCGTAGGTATTTGGTTGAACATTTGATTGCTTGCTTGGGGAAATTAATGTGGTGTTGTCATATCAATAATTGATGCCTCTTAGAAGCAAGCGGTGACAATATACAGTAGTTAAATAGTAACCATTAGCTACAGCAATTTATACTTTTATCCATTAAAATAAAACATTTTTTATGCCATGTTATTTTATTTTTCTCTAATGTCCGTCGTCGATGGTCATGACGTCAGTGTCTGGCTCGTAGTGCAAGTCGAGTTGGCGAGAACGCACTATTTGCTTGTACACGAAGGCGGACTTGCGTGGCGTTCGAGTCCGCTCCGGACTCGTGTAATTTACTTCGTACAGGCCGAAACGCTGCCTGAAAGGTAGCACAACAAATGTAATATAAATACTTAACGTATTTAATGTGAATATTTAATAGATTTACGGATATTATTAGTTTTTAAATTCCCACAATTTGGACTACTATGCAGCCATCATCGGGAGAGTGTCTATGATTATCAAATATTTATATTTAAAGCAAGAAATCTAACTAAGAAATAACTTTGGTAGGGCCACGCAACAGCGAAAACGGCGAAAGCGACCTCACAGAAGACTGGCGTGAAGTTTATAGTTTAAAGTTTTATACTTTTGCGTTTCGTCTGGTGACTGAGGTAGCTGGGTCCACTTTATTAAAAGGTGGTATCTCATCTGCAACTTTACGGGTGTTGAAAATGAACCGCCAGCTCGCTAGCCACTCTCTCAGATAAAAAAAACATGCAGACAGAAAATTTCAATTAATAATAAGGCCAAGCGATAACTTTTAGCGACAAGCCATATATGTGAAGGTTATGTTAAATTACGTGTCGTTTTCAGGTATAAAAATGAGGAAAATAATAACAATGTTTTTAAGCAATTATAAGCCACACGGAAGTGTCTTTTATCACTGACAAACGTCACATTAATTATATGTTGTATGACCTATACTATCATAACATAATAATAAGTGCTGGCTTAAGTAAGGTATAGGTAATGTATAATAACATATAAAAGAATGTATCCAATGAAATTATATCTTTATCCAAATTTCGTACTATTATTATATAAAGATTAAATTATTTCTCGTAAAAACCGTGACAGTTCAGTGTCCGGGCGGTCGCCTTCAATTCACAATACTTGTGCAACCTGAGTTCGATTCCCGGTACCGGCAATAATGAAATTGTTAATTTTAAGTGCTGACTTTATCACGTTCTCCGCGGTGACGGAAAAAATCGCGATATTTCGAAGATATGTGAAGCCCGCCAATCCGCAGTTGAGCCGCGTGGTGGACTATGCCTTGATACCCTCTGTATAGAGGCCTTTGCCCAGCAGCGGGACGTATAGGCTGTTACTTCACTATACTAGTAAAAACTTAAAAATGCAAGAGGATATTGATCTGAAGTGTTATTTTTACATCGTTACGACTTGGTAATTTTTTGATTATAGCAATTTATTTGAATGAAAACAATCATTGTACTGAACATAAACAATATATGGCCCATGTATTAGGTAACGTCTCCATTGTTAGGACATTACTTTATAAACGATTACTTGTTGGTTAAAAAAAGACTCACGTGTATCCAGCTTTCCATTCGAAATTGTCCATGAGGCTCCACGCGGTGTAACCTCGGATGTCCGATCCGTCTTCAATAGCGGCCAGCATAGCATCAAGGTAATACTTATAGTAGGTAACTCGGTCCTCGTCTTCCAAGCCAACGTAAGTTGCAAATCCATTTTCAGTAACAAGAACTGCGGGGTTGTCGTAATCCTCTCTTATTCGCGTCAATAGCTTGTGGAATCCCCACGGGACAGACTGCAAGTAAAACATTTTTATTAATAAAAACCAAACCGACTTCAAATATCTCCACCAAAAGCAAGTAATTTCAATCATTAATTTCTCTAAACACAAAACTCACAATATACGCTCAATAAAAATGTCTTATATGTAGCAATAACTTTAGATGTTAGTTACAATGTAAACTTGCATAACAAGTGCTTTTTTATTAACAAAAAAACAAAACCGACTTCAAAGATCTCCACCAAAAGCAAGTAATTTCAATCATTAATTTCTCTAAACACAAAACTCACAATATACGCTCAATAAAAATGTCTTATATGTAGCAATAACTTTAGATGTTAGTTACAATGTAAAGTTGCATAACAAGTGCTTTTTTATTAACAAAAAACAAAACTGACTTCAAACATCTCACTCGCTATTTATTTTCTATTCGATTTTATGAACTTCCCTAATATATTATAACAATAATAATTTTTAAAATCGGTTCATGAATGACACTTGTTAGGTACGTTACATATAAAAATACACCGAATTTGGAACCTCCTATTTTTTTTTGCAACCTCCTTTTTTGAAGTCGGTTAAAGAAAAAATATTTATGCACTGTTTTGTAATAAATAAATTTTACGCCTACGACGACTTTTTTAAAAATAAAAAAACTAATCAAGAAAAAAATCTAATTTTGTGTAAAGTTGTGTTTTCCTAATTAACTTTTATTTCAAGTGTTTAAATTATATTATTATATCATCATCAGTCTGTCCACACCCGAGTTCAAGATTTAGTCATTCGGCCTTTACTAGTAAACGCGGAATGACTCAATCTTGAGCCCTATTAGTAAAAAACAATAATGTTACAAATTATATATAGTAAAGCAAAAATTAATTGCTCATTTGGAATCACGTAATGTAATATAGCTTATGAGAACATTTTACATTTAAAACACTTAAATATGGTTGTAAGTTCTCACGTTAATGTACTCTGATTCACCCAATTTCCATTCATCCTTAGAATATGTCACAACTTCAAGGTCATCGTCGAATGATGGTGATTCGTAGTAATTGGATGTAGAACTGTTACGATATACGTAGTTCGTTAAGTAATGATTAAGCCCAAAGTAATCTGAAGAGCCTCGAACGTAACCAATTTCTTCATCAGTAAATTCAGGCAGTCTCGATCTATAAAATCCCTGTTGATAACTCTTAGCTGCCACCATTTCCTTGACCGATTGTGGAAAATCACCATTTGCAGAGAATATAGGATGAGAATATAATGCCCACTGCAAAAATCAAAAAGCCATTAACCATTATATTTATTTTTGTAAAATAAAAAAAGCGTCATGAATACAAAGATTACCGTGAAATCATTAGTTTGTTTGGCGGCAACAGCAAACTCTTCGTACTCTGCGTCATACCATTGAGCACTCAATGAGATAAAAATCGAACCGCCCTGTTTCGAACGGAAATTTTCATCGTAAATGTGGTACGCTTTAGCATGAGCTAAGAGCAAGTTTTTAGCACACAAGTATTCTGCTACACCCTTTATATTAAGAGCGGGAGCTAACTCATTGACTCCATAACCATAGTAGCAAATCTGATGCGGTTCGTTGATGGTAATCCAATACTTAACCCTGTCACCAAACAACTCAAAGGCAACGTATGCGTAGTCTGCAAACCAGTCTACTATATGTGGGTTGGTCCAGCCACCCATCTCTTGTAATTTTTGCGGCAAGTCCCAATGGTAAAGTGTTACCATCGGTTCAATATTGTATTTCAGCATTTCGTCGATCAAATTGTTATAGTACTGGACCCCGGCTTCGTTAATTTTATCGGGGAAGCTGGTAGGTAGGATTCTCGTCCATGATAAGGAAAACCTGTAAAAATCTAAGCCCAACTCTCGCATCATCTCCACGTCCCTTTTGTATTGGTGATATGAGTCATCCGCGACATCTCCGTTAGAACAATCTTTCACAAAGCACGGATTTGTGTGAGTTATATGATCCCAGATATTTTCAGTTTTACCTGTAAATATAATGAGCTGTTTGTCTTTTCACTTTTAATATGTTCCAGGGAAATGTCAAAGATATTTACCATCTTCATCCCAAGCGCCTTCGATCTGGTAGGAAGAAGTCGCACTCCCAAAAAGAAAATTATCAGGAAATTTATAAATTTCATGACGAGCAACTTTGCTCCCAGATATCGTTATAAAGCGAAGTATGAACAAACTGAAACAAAGGAAGTACTTATTTTTCATATACATACACCAGCACAATTAGCAGAACTTAAAAAATAAACATTATTTCTCACAATATTTCATAAAACACTGGCCAGTTAAGTAACTCTTTTATTTAGAACTTTAATAAACAAAGGACAATACAAACAAAATAAAATCGTACTAACATCCTTATACGCTATACAAAAGCTTTTCTTTTACATTAGGCAAATTTAAAGTAATTAAGTCTAAAACTCGACCGAACTTAGACGAATAGAAAAAAAATGTAATTTACATATGTAGTTAATAATAATCAATAGTATCATTACGAGATAAATTAATTATTTAAATTAACTTCTCTTCTGAGTGGGTTCTAGAAATCTCGTGCGGTAGGTCAAGTACTTTTATCTTTATTGTCTCTTACAAGGAATTCGTCATGGTAAGTGGTAAGCTTACGTTACCACTTACCATGATGAATTCCTCGTAAAAAATAGCCTCGACAGTGTCCGATCCATCGACACGATATCATGCCTCACGGAGAATTGTTTTTTCCGTGATGATAATATAGTTATATTCATATGAAGGATTTAAGTTTTGCTTATTATTTTAAATCACATCAAAATCCTACGAACGAGATAGCCCATAAAACTTGTTAAGGTAAAATTTGAGAATAAGGAAAACATAATATACAAACATTGGACAATAAAAGTTGAAATCAAACTTACACCGTTCGAAGTCTTCCCAACATTGTTACTTTTTGAAGTTGTTGTCCTAATATATACGCGTTGGTTATCAAGATTGTTTATCAACGTGAATATTCCACATTTCATTAATGTGTTGGATTTTTTCTATGGCGTCACCTTGAAATTTAAGAGTGTATTTCGAAAAAGAAAAGTAATTTAATATAAAATCAAATAGAATTGTATATATTAATAGAACTAACCGGTTCAAGGAGTCCAAGGCCACAGCAAGAGCAAGTAAGTTGGGTACTTGCGAAGGTGCGGCAATATTTCACAACGGAACAGCTTCTATCCCTTTAGAAAGTTCAAGTCAGAACGTGTATGGTATATTACTTTCATATGATGGGCTGGTGGTGCAAAATATCACCTAGCCAGTGTGGACTCGGCGGAGAGGCGTGCAAGTACACCGTGGCTTGGTAAAAACTAATATGCCCAGTCTCAGTCATATGTAGCCAGTCTCTCTGTGTTATATAGCATTATAACTACCAATTCCATTATTGGACAACTAAAAGACCTGCATGAATCTATCCTTTGGTTGTTGACATTCCATGCCTTCAAACGAATAGGTCGCCTCCTCTTTCGTAAAGCGTACAGCAAAAGAATGGAACGGTTTGCCAGCGTCAGTTTTCCCCCCAAGTTATAATGTGAGGCAAGGCACGATTAAGAGTGAGAGAATAGTGGGTTTACCACGTATGACTATATATATATTTATTTGAAAAGTTGGCAAGTATGCTGGCGGTTCACCTAATGGTAAATGATTTCTGCCGCCCATCAAAAACATCAGAGCTGTTGCGGATGCCTTTCCAAACTTCAAAAAGTGAGCCTAGGCTACTTCACTCAACAAAGGAAACGCGAAAGTGTAATACTTCCATTTCACGCCGGTTTTCTCTTATACTTTCCCGGACGAACCCCCGTATGTGCGACAGCAAAAGCTGCTGCGTGGCTTTGTCTCTGTTTTTACTTAACATCAGGTGAAATAAGGGTCAAGCAATGGCCGGGTTTTCAATAAAGAGGTAATTAAATAATTATAAAATAAATATAAATAAGTATAAAAAAAATTTCAATAAATAAGAAATTGCAGTTTGATTGTAAAAAGATAACAGTGAATCATCATCATCAAATAATTATGTTTCGAGAAAATGTAATTAAGTATTGCTTATTGTTTTTGTAATAAGTCAACATACAACCACAACAGATGTCCAATTCCAGATAGTTCAAATCGGAATAAAATTTATTTAGGGTTCGTGAAAGTCGTATTTTCGGAAAAGATGGTATAAAATTTTATCTTTGATTTATTAATATTTTTATAAATAATTGTTTTATTAATTGGAGTGAATATTTTAAAGAGAGTTTATTCGAAAAAGGAATGTGATACACTAGTTTCCAGCGAGATCGTTATCGATATCTTTGCCGTTCCCTATGGCTAGCAGGAAACATCCAAGCTGGAAAGAAATTTAAGCAAAATCCAAACAGGGAAGACTTCGATTCAGACACATGCCCCTAAATTAATTCTGGTCTTTATAAAGCAAGTTAAATCACTAAGTGCAAGAATATGAAACAACCTAATTCTGAAATTTTTATTCAACTAGTTGAGGAGTACCAGATGAATGTAAATTTCAGATTCACACAGATCGTATGTACTTACAATGTTTCACGTTTGATATGCGTGGCACAGAGTCCTAATATTTTTCTAGTCCGTCGTACAACTCTTGTTATTAGGTGAACATAGTTACTCACAATTTTATTCCACTTCTTTTGGTACCCAATTTTAAAAGTCTTTTATCCAACCGCAACGTCTCGACAATGGTTTACGCTTAAAATATTCCGGAGTTTATATATAGGATATATCCTTCGTGTTGCTTTTATTAATTTTTAATAAAATCAACACACGTTTGTTCGTTCAATGTTGTTTTTTTTTTACAGTTTAGTTAACGTTGTTTGATAGTTATTTTATGCATTTCTGCAATATTAACATGCAATCTATCTTCGCTATTTTTAATTAATTTAAGTTGGGTTGTTGTTATGACCTTCAAACCAAATCTGAAGGCAAACAAGTATTTCACTCATTTTATAAGAATTACCGTACGGATGTTTTTATAGCAAAGTATAACAGAATAAAATAATAGTTTACCGACCTGCAAAATAGACGATTTAATAGATACCTTAACGCATAACCGAAAACCTACGTATGTAGCAATTCACTTTATTGTGAGAGTTTTCCATTGGTAAAAATAATAAAAATAATAAGGAGTAGGCTTATAGAATATAACGAGTATTTAAATCGAAATACAATAACCATATGATGTGGCATAGGAAATTTAAAAATTGGGGATTATCGTTTACGAATTGACGCGCTTTAATTTTTGGGTCGCACTACTGCACGGTCCATAGACACAGCGACAAGCGCGATGTAGCGAATTTTTGAGTAAATTGACACACTTTGATACTTTTATTTAATTTTTAGCAATTACTTTTTTAAGCTTGCTTTGATTTGTTTTCAACTTAACGTTCGTATAACTAGACACCATTTACTTAATTTCATTTGATTGGTTGGTAAGAAAGTACTTGCTAAAATACCTAGTTATATGTTGCGCGATGATTCTCAAAACATATAATCAAAAAGATAAGTTTATTTTATTCGTTCTATTTAGTATTTTTATAAAATAAATTTGTAGGTCACGTAACTGTAGTATTTTACTAATAGAAATGGAAAAAAGAATGACCTTTCAGATATTTCTTAAGCATGTTAGAATTTGCAGGTTTTTGATTTCTTTCGTATTACTGGTGTTATTTATTAATTATAATAAATATAATAATAACAATAAATATTTTTGTAAGTTGTCTTCAACGTTCCGGTTCTACTCGTCTATATAGTTCCAGTAACAGTTCTCGAAGAACATCACCCTTACTTTTTACGCTCTACACGAGCGATATACCAAAAGACCCCCACGTCAATCTCGTGTTTTTAGCGGATGACACGGCCCTCTTTTACACAGATAAAAATCTTTCTACTCGTCTCCAAAACGCCGCCGACCGCCTCGGCGACTGGTTCCGCAAATGGAGAATTGAAGTAAATCCCGAAAAGAGTGTGGCGACTCACTTCACACGAAGTACTTACCCGTCACATCTTTATAAAGGTCGTCGCCAATGTAGAAAGCTAGGGTAAATATCTCTTTATGGCCAACCGCTCCCATGGGAGAAAAAGGTCAAATATTTAGGAGTCACTTTCGACTCGAATGTCATTCACAACGCATATTAATAACGTCCGTAACAGAGCCGCGTTCGTCTCCGGCCGGCTAAGCACTTTAACTTACCAGTCAAGTAAAATGTCCTTAAGACACAAATTACTTTTATACAAAGCATGATTTTTGCCCACACGCACCTTACTCGCTTGCACAAATTGCAAGTAGTGCAAAATAAGTTTATCCGCCGCGCACCCGGTGCGCAGTGATATCAACGCAACGTCGACCTGCACAGCGATTGCGGACTCCCGACGATTCGGGAATTTTTCAGAGACCTAACCAAATGGTTCTTCGATAGAGCCGAACATTATCCTAACCCTCTCTCGACGGGAGCTACAGGAAAGTTCTCTCAAGACACTTTCCTGTAGCTCCCGTAGCGATAAGTCCATACACTACCTCAGCAGCAACGGCTACAGGCAAGCGAGTAGGGTGTTTGGGGTCCGCAGGCAAAAGGCAGACGATTCTCCAGCCACAACTTTGCGTCAGCCACGCGGCATAAGCTACAGAAGCTATGTAGCAAGGAAGGTGCAGGAACCCTGGAACGCAGCCGCACTTTGACTTTAACAGCCGTCGGAAAATGTATTAGGAGTGGAGCCGACAACATTATTTACAACCCTTCCACCCAACGGAAATCATATATATCGTATGTGTTGTGTAAATTACACGTAGTAATTTACACAACACAAAACACAATATAAAAATTTGAGGACTA